AGAATGAAGCGGGGGAGGCCCTGCCCTGTTCACCCACATCCCCAGGCTGGGACATTTGTTGAATCACCATTTGCATGACATTGTGTGAGTGAGTGAGTGAGTGCAGGCGCGTCGCTGTCTCTATCTGCCGCCGGGGCTTTCAGTGTCAACAATCTCCTTAACGACACTCCGTCAGACACACAACCGGGTCAGTAAGCAGAGCAGACCACGCACACACGATGGAATGGTGGCAAGCTTAGGCTGCACGTCTGTCTGTATGTCTGCAGTGACGGACTTCGACTGCCAACTGGATGCTCGTGAGCTCTATATGCCTCCCTCAGCCACTCGAAGGCCCACCATGACAGTCCATCCATTGATGTGTGTGCCTGTGGGCAGCCACCAAGTGCACATGGGGACCGGCGGAGCGGTGGCACAGCCGATGTGTGGCGCCGTGGCAGTGCATGGCGGTGGACATGGACCACGACTTCCTCCGCGAGCCGCGGACACACATCGCGTGCACGTAGGTGCTACGTGCAGGCTCACAGTGCCTCCCTCCCAGCTAGGCTACACGAAGAGAAGACCACACACACGACACACCCCAGTCAGTCGTTGACTCATACGTATCAGAATTGAGGCTCTCGACAAGTTGCTCAAACAGTCAAAGGAGGAGAAGCAACTGTGGGACGAGTGGGCCAAGTCTGTCGGCGGGTCTCCTGAGCCCATCGACAAGTTCCTCGAGCAGCGGAAATACGACTTGGCCAGGGGGCTCTTCGGCCAGGTGAGCACTCTGCCTGACCAAAGGCAGTCCTCTTGTGTGCATGTCTCTCTCTCTTTCGCCTCTCTCTCCATTGGGCCAGTGCTACTGCTGCGCCCCCCTAAGGGAGGAGCCCAGCAGAGTACAAAGAGAGGACAACAGAGAGGAAGAGAGAAAGAGAAAGAAGGGCCGCCGGGCGAGGATCCAAGCCATGCGCAAGAGGCGTGAAGCGGCCAACGAGCTTCGACACAATGGGGTCAAGGACACCGGGAAGCAGGATAAGCAGATGCAGCGCGACAAAGAGAGGCAGAAGCTCACCAGGGACCGCGCCGAGTCCAGGCTGCGCACTTTGCTTGAGGCTGTGGGAGTGGAGGTGCCCCTAGAGGGGGCCGACCAGCCGGAGCTGCAGCCTCTGCCGCCAGAGACCGAAGATGAATGGGAGACATCAGACGAACTGGAGACATCAGACGACTCAGATGAGTGGACGCCGGATAGTGCGGAGTCTGACACGGACGGTTCGCTCTTATGGAGCGAGGGGAGCGACAGCGAAGACGAAGACGAGGGTGACGATGTTGCGTGGTGAGGAGAGCGTCTTCTGACCAGCACACGGACGGAAACAGAGATGTGCATACGTTTGTGTGCGTGTGTGGATGGCTGGCTGGCTGGCTGGCTGGGTGGCTGAGAGACAGAAGAGAGAGAGAAAGAGACACGCACAGACGGCAGGGAGGGAGGGGGTGGTTCATCGACTTGAAGGCACTCATATGTGTGTGCGTGGTGGGCGGCGCCGCTGGAAGATACGCCAGGCGGGCGCTGAGGATGGTGCTGGCATGTTTGTCGCATGATTGAGGGTTGGTCGATGTTGACGCAGTTCGTTTCATGAGAGACCGACAGACTCTGCCTGCCGTTAACGTTGCGCTATGAGTTAACGTATGTCACGTCACTTGAAGGCACTCGAGTGACGCGTGAGCCCTTCAGCCTGTTGGTTACAGGCTC